TTTTGCTTTCAGAAAAGGATATGCTTGGAAAAACAATGAATTGTTATGACCCAGGTGGTCTAGAACAGGGCTTTTCAACCTTTTCACCCATTGTACCACTTTTAGGATATGGCAACATCTGAGTACCACCAGTCGCCTAGCAAGGTGTGAAAAACTTGATGACCCCCCCCAAAAAAAGGAAAAAAGTGATAAAGTACAGGTAGTCCTCAACTTACAACAGTTCGCTTAGTGACTGTTCGAAGTTACAATGGCACTGAAAAAAGTGCTCCCCAAGCCACAGCCGAGCAAGACACCTGCCTGCCCACCCGGCGCTCTCATTCCCCTCCCCCGCTACTTTTCTAGAATGGTCACGTACCACCTGCCAAGTGCCATTGTACCACAGGTGGTACCCGTACCACTGGTTGAAAAGCCCTGCTTTAGAGAGTCTTTTATTGCCTTTAAGAAGGGTTCAACAAATGGCCCTCCAACTACCAGTAAGCCTCCAGCCCATGCTACTCTGAAGGCAGTCACCCTCAGTCCCGCCAAACAACGGCCCATATATTCCCAAGAAGTCCACAGGCATAAGACAAATGGCAGTCCTCCAAGCAAAGGCAGGGTACAAGGCAAAGGCAATTCTGAATGTAAAGTAGGGTAAGACCAATGGCAGTCCTCGAAGCAAGGGGAAAAGCAGTCCTCGAAGCAAGGCAAAAAGGCACAGAGTCAAAGCTGAGGGAGTGTCATCCAAAACAAACAACTGTTCCTGGCCAAGACTAACTCCCCACGGCTTCTCCTTAAGTTACTGTTCCTCATCAGTGGGGATCTGCGGCCTATCAGCCCTACTGCCTGTCAGCAAATGATCCTCCCCTGTGTCCGTGAAGGCAAGCAGCTCTCCATCGGTCGATCACCTCCCCCAATGCCAGGGGGGCCTGAGACAGCATCGTCCTCAGCCCCTGGCTTCTCCAAACATGCAAAGGGAGACGTGCCCTCCCTGTCAGACGGTCCCAGTTCCAACTCCTCCTCCTCTGAACTGGGTTCCGATGCAATCATGATGTGAACCAGGAATCTTACTTTTCTAACTAACTTAAGTGAGATGGATGACAAATAATAATAATAATAATAATAATAATAATAATAATAATAATAATAATAATAATAATAATAATAAAGTTGGAAGGGACCTTGGAGGTCATCAAGTGCTCAGGCAGGAACCCTACACCATTTCAGACAAATGGCTGTCCAGTCTCTTCTTAAAAACTTCCAGTGTTGGAGCATTCACCGCTTCTGGAGGCAGGTGGTTCCACTGGTTAATTATTCTAACTGTCAGGAAGTTTCTCCTTAGTTCTAGGTTGCTTCTCTCTTTGGTTAGTTTCCATCCGTTGCTTCTTGTCCTGCCTTCAGGCGCTTTGGAAAATAGCTTCACTCCCTCTTCTTTGTGGCAGCCCCTGAGATACTGGAAGACTGCTATCATGTCTCCCCTCGTCCTTCTCTTCGTTAAACTAGACATACCCAATTCCAGCAGCCTTTCCTTATATGCTTTGGCCTCCAGTCCCCTAATCATCGTTTGTTGCTCTTCTCTGTACTCTTTCTAGAGTCTCAACATCTTTTTTACATCATGGTGACCAAAACTGGATGCAGTATTCCAATTGTGGCCTTACCAAGGCATTGTAAAATGGTGTTAACACTTCATGTGATCTTGATTCTATCCCTTTGTTAATGCAGCCTAGGACTGTGTTGGCTTTTTTTTGGCAGCTGCAGCACACTGCTGGCTCCTATTTAGGTGATTGTCCACTAGGACTCCGAGATCCCTCTCACAGTTACTACTATTGAGCAAGGTACCCCCTATACTATAGCTGTACATTTGGTTTTTCTTGCCTAAATGTAGAACCTTACTTTTTTCACCATTGAATTTCATTTTGTTAGATAGCGCCCAGTGTTCAAGTTTGTCCAGGTCCTCCAGCTTGGTGTCATCCGCAAATTTGATGAGTTCCCCATCTATCCCCTCGTCCAAATCATTGATGAAGATTTGTGGATTTGAAATGTGCACCTATGTTGTGTTAGATCAGCGGTAGGCAACCTTGGCTCTTTTGTGACTCGTGGACTTCAACTCCCAGAATTCCTGAGCCAGCATGGCTGGCTCAGGAATTCTGGGAGTTGAAGTCCACAAGTCACAAAAGAGCCAAGGTTGCCTACCCCTATATTAGATGAAGATCCTCCTGAGCTTAAGACAGAGAACTTGCCAGAACATCCCGGATGTTACATTCACTGGGAATGTTCTCTTCTTTCAGAGCCCTGTGTCCTTCCAGGAGGTGGCTGTTTTTTTCACTGAAGAAGAGTGGGCCTTACTGGAACCCCGTCAGAAAGCTTTGCATGATGAGGTCATGCTGGAGAATTCAAGGAATGTTGCTTCTCTAGGTAAGGGCCTTGATTTAACCGGATTTGTACATAATGTTTTCTATCTTTTCCTTTCCCTTTCGAGATGCAGGAATGTCCTCAACTTACAACAGTTCATTTAGTGACCGTACCAAAGTTACAATTGCACTGAAAAAAAAATGACTTACCACCGTTTTTTTAACAGCTACAACTGTTGCAGCATCCCCGTGGTCACAGGATCAAAATTTGGATGCTTGGTAATTGGTTCATATTTGTGAGGGATGCAGTGTCCTGGGATCACGTGATCAGGTTTTGCAATCTTCTGACAAGCAAAGTCACTGGGGAAGCCAGTTTCACTTAACAACCATATTACTAGCACCAGCAATAGCACTTAGACTTATATACCGCTTCGTGGTGCTTTACAGCCCTCTCTAAGCGATTTACAGAGTCAGCCTATTGCCCCCAACAATCTGGGTCCTCATTTTACCTCAGAAGGATGGAAGGCTGAGTCAACCTTCAGCTGGTGAGGATCGAACTCCTGGAGTGAGCAGTGAGTTGGCTGCAGTCCTGCATTCTAACCACTGTGCCACCACGGCTAACTTAACGACTACAATGATTCACTTAACACAGACATGTCAAACACAAGGCCCAGGGGCCTGATGCGGCCCGTGAAGTGGTTTCATGTGGCCTGCGAAGCCATCCTGGAAACAGTGAGGGAACGACCCCCTCTGCCTTGGCCCTGGCCCAGGCCAGCCGGGAGCCAATGTACAATTTTGTGGTGGCCATCTATGCTGAAACACATTCAGTCTTAGCTCCACAAGGCCATCTGGAAATAGTGAGGAACCAGCCCCTGCCACGTCAGCCCCACCCGCTGGGTGCATGCTGGGGAGGTATCACCCTTTGTGAGGAATGAAGAAATGCACCATCGCCTATCCGGCTTGATGGGCTCCGGCGGAGGGGTTTCAGCAGGCAGTGAGGCTCCTCCAGTGGACCATGCCTTGGCACTTGCCCCGGTCCCACCTCCTTCTGCCAGAGACCCTCAGATCTGTCCCGCTCCTGCCCGAGCCTCCATAGGCACCCTTGACGCGAACGATGTAGAGCTGGCTATGCCCACCCAATAGGCCACACCCATTCCATCCACACCCACCCAGTAGGCCACACACACCCTGGCCACACACCCCCGCCCCTCCTCCCCAAAGGCAACCGCAATGCTGATGCGGCCCTCAGTGAAATTGAGTTTGACACCCCTGACTTAACAACTGTGGTAAGAAAAGCGGTAAAATGGGGCAAAACTCACTTGACAAATGTCTCAGTTACCAACATAAATTTCGGGCTCAGTTAAGTCGAGGACTACCTGAACTTAAAAGCAAACCTTGTGTTTTAGTTTTAAAGCTGAGAAGATCTATGTCTCTGGGGACCTTGAAGTTACGTAGAGATTGATAAGGGCATCTTTAAAAAGTTTTGGCCAAGTATTGTTTAAAGTTTCGAGGCAGCGTTTTTGTGGATTTTTCTGCTTTTGTTAAATCTCACCAGTAACAAATTAATACATAAACACTGGATGACGTTTGTGATGTTGGTCTCCATGCCAGGTCAGCTCCTTATGTCTTCCTTTTTTCGTGGCCACGTTAATTTATGCTTTTGGTCTTCATAATTTGGCAAGCTTGTTTGTATGAAAGTAATAAGACAGTTGGGTGGGGACATTTGTAAGAACAGGGAAGGTAGAGCTGCTAGTTCCAGTGAAGAAATTATAAAATTGTGCACTTGCTACAACTCTTCAAAAATCTTCAAAAATCCCAAAGGCCATCTTCTGTAGTAGGTTGATTTTCTTACTTTTCTATAGCCTCATGTTAAATTTGTTCGTACATTCTAATGGAAATTAATCCAACATTGGGTTTCAGAGGTAGGAAGGGATGCATTTGTGTATAATGAAACATGAAAATTAGCACAACAAAGAAATCATGTTATTTTCCGGGACTGAATAATAATTAAAGCATCATCTTGGTTTCCAAGTTTAGAAAGAGGAAAGGACATTGGTTAATGCTGTTTTTAATGAATTTTGTGCATTAATGCTGTATTCTGTTGTGCCATATGAACTGAATGAATAAATGAATGAATGAATGAATGAATGAATGAAAGAAATAAGTATGCAAGTAAGTAAGTAAGTAAGTAAGTAAGAAGAAAAGACTTGAAATGCTGGAGAAAAATTGCAACTCGTGGAGTTTAGGTTTTCATGGGAGTTTATGTTTCTTCATGATTCTAATGGTTACTACTCATTTTTTTTCTTCCCCCATACAGGTGATGGGCAAGAAAATAAGAATAATGAGAAGACAAGGATATTTGCATTGCAAACAGTTAAGTATGAAGGACAAGAAGAGATGTTTCAAAACATGTGGAGACCACAACAAGCGGAGGACAATCAGCCAAGCGACCAGGGTGAGAAGTTTTCAATTACTCAAAGTGTGGAAATAGAGGATTTCCAGACCCAAGAAAATCACAAGGGAAAGACAAAAGAGAATTCAAGGTATGGGGAACTATTCAAAGATAAACCCGATAGAAGCAAAGACTGCCGAATCCACACAAAAGCGAAAGCTTGCGAACGCAGAGACCGTGTGAAGAATTACTACGAGAACTTCCCTCCGACTTTGTATCAGAGCGTCTCCCCAGAAAACAAACCATATAAATGCACGGAGTGTGGAAAAAGCTTTAGCCACTCCAGTTCCCTCACTTCCCACAAGAGGATCCACACGGGGGAGAAGCCATACAAATGCCCGGAGTGCGGAAAAAGCTTTCGACGCAATACCGACCTTACCTCTCACAAAAGGGTCCACACCGGCGAGAAACCCTTCAAATGTACGGAGTGCGGGAAGGGCTTCACCATGAGCAGCAACCTGACGTTGCACAAACGGATCCATACTGGGGAGAAACCCTTTCAATGCGTGGAGTGTGGAAAGAGCTTCATTCAAAGGGGTCACCTCACTTGCCACATGCGGATCCACACTGGGGAGAAGCCATATATGTGCGTGGAGTGTGGAAAAACTTTCAGGTGGAGCAGCCACCTGCCTAACCACATGAGGATCCACACGGGGGAGAAACCGTATAAGTGCGTGGACTGCGGAAGGTGCTTCAGAGACCGTAGTGCCTTTCAGGCTCACCGGAGGATCCACACGGGGGAGAAATCTTTAAAGTGCACGGAATGCGGGAAGACTTTCCGGGGCAGCACGGATCTCACGATCCATAAAAGGATCCACACCGGGGAGAAACCCTACAAATGCCTGGAGTGTGGGAAGAGCTTCATTCGAAGCAGTCACCTGTCCTCCCATAAAAACATCCACCCGGGAGAGAAGCCGTTTAAATGTCTGGAGTGCGGAAAGAGCTTCACTCAAAGCTGTTACCTCACCTACCATCAAAGGATCCACACGGGAGAAAAACCCTACAAATGTCTGGAGTGCGGGAAGGGCTTCAGCAGGAGCAGTCACCTTTCTTACCATAGAAACATCCACCACGGAGAGAAAGGCTATAAATGTCTGGAGTGTGGGAAAAGCTTCACTCAGAGCTGTTACCTTCTGTCCCATAAAAGTATCCACATCAGGGAAAGCCCATAAAAATACTAGGAGTGTTCTGCATCTTCTTGTCCTTACATTATTTTTGTAAGCTGACTTGAGTGTTTATAGAAATAGAAAGGCATGGCATAAATGTAATAATAAAAATAATTACTACTACAGTCTTTATTTCTTCGGTGATCTATTATTGAATCTTATACTGCAGTATATACTATTAT